AATCGGATCTCCCAAACTCTCGAACAAAGCAATTCTCACGTGTATGTAGATGAGAAAAATCGGCGAACTCAAGCTTGTAGGAGAGTATGGGACATGGTGTATATATAGGCTCCATTAGGGACCATAAGGAGGTGCTAAATATGGGCTTATTCTATTAGGCCTAGGACTCCTAATTCCAATCCAATACTAACTCAATCTAGGAAGGAGATCTCCTACTAATCTCTCTCTTCTAGAAGACTCCTAAGTCTCCTAACACTAGAGAAGATCCTTGTAGGAATTTCATTTCCTAATTAAATTAATATACATGGAATAGGATTAAATCCTAATTTAGGAAACCTAATTTTACCCCAATTAATTAATATAATGTAGGAAATATATTTCCCACTAATATTCATCTTCTAGAAGACTCCCAAGTCTCCTAATCCCAAGAGAAGATTCTAGTAGGAATTTTATTCTCCTAATTAATTAATTAATATGGAATAAAATTAATTCCTATTTAATGGAATTAAATAATAAAACATCTCACTAGAGTAATATTATTGCTCTCCCCATTTAGCCACTATTTTACCAATAAAATCGAGCCTCCATGATTAAATAATATTAATCTGATTGATCGATTTACCTCCCTATGTTTAAGATATAACGTGTAATATCCCGATATTTTATCGGTATAAATTACGTTTAATTCCGATATAATAATGTTATCGTTTATTATTTTCGGAATTAATTAAGTTCAGTCAGGATTACCGAAATCTATTTTCGACGTACCGTTTACGTCCGAAATAATTTTGGTAATTAAGTATTATGTTTAATTGAATAATTAAACATAAGATAAGTGATTAATTAATATTAATCACCATCATTAGCATTAAGCCGTGAGATTAGGGCTATTTTTCCCTAATTTTTCCAAGGCATGCCGTGAGGATTTCCTTAAGCTTAAGGAAATGGTTACAACCAATAAAATTTAGCTACTTGTCATAAGGAGAGGAAGCTTAGTCACCCTAATTAGGCCAAGGAAATTACAAGTGCCAAGCATAGAAGAAGGCCACATCAATGTGGCGTGGCCATTACCCTTTAATCGGCCGTTTATAAAGCAAGGAGGGATTGAGAATTTTTCCTCATTTTCCCTATAGTAAATTCAGAACATCTTCAGAATAAACTACTCCCTATTGCAGCTACTAAATACAAGCAAAGTTCCCAACAAATTTCCCTAAGTTTGCTTCCAAATCGCACGACAAGGTTAAGTCTACGCACGGCGTACACTCAAGGCAAGGGAAGCTGCGCTTAAGTTCCGAATTCCGTCGAACGTCAGTAAAGGTATTCTCTTCCTCCTGTTAGAATCAGGTTAATAAGATGATTTCAGAGTTAAATGTTCGGGAAATTCGAGTAAAATTATGCTTTAAGCCGTGCCCTAGGTTCGATTATTTAAGTAAGCTCGATTTATTTTCATTTCAGTCCGGCAAATCCCGAGCATTCAGCGATGGTTTAACCTTTAATTAATTTTTCATGTTAAGTCTGATAAGTATTGTTGAGGAAAGTCGAGGATTGCCGGTGAGTTGGCCAAAGCCGTCGCTAGTGCTGATCGCACGTAGCTACGGGCGGCCATGAGGCATGATCTTATGAGTTGAATATAAGTCATGAGCAATTCTGTTTCCTTTAGCTCTTATTTGATGTTTAAGGTTCAGTT